TACCCAATGTTAACTTTACATTCCAAAGATAAAGTTTTTCTTTTCTTGTTTGATGCAGAAGAATCAGTTCTACTTCGTTTAGATGACACAGTAGTCTCTCAAGTCTCCGTAGATATAACAAACATAGAAATAAATAACACAAAATAAATTGTAGCTATGTGTCGATTCCGCGCGACACGTCCGAACATGTAAGATGAATAATAGTGTCGGGAAATGAGTAATCAAGAGTTGCGTGGCGTTCAAACAAAAGACGAATCGACGAGATTTGAAAATCGCGTAACTCCGGGTTCGCGTAAGTCGGGGTAGCGTAAGTCGAGGTATTACTGTTTATGATCCATATTAATATATGATCCATATTAGGTTATTTATGTTATATTATAAACTAGATCGGATTAGAAACTGAATTCGACTTAGTTTATAATTTAACATGAATAGTATCTTGAACAGTAAAAGGTCATTAATCTGATCGACCAGATATCGGACTTTTACTGTTCAGGATAAGAAATATTATGTCAGCATAATATACTGTACACTTTAACATCTATTTGACATCTTATTTACACTTACTTTTTTTTTTCTTTTTTATAAAAACATAGGCTAATAACGCCAAATTGATATGACTATACATTATCAGAACAAAATGAACCTTTATATACAGTAATACGAACACTTAATCTACAGGAAAAACGCGAGTGAGATAAAGTCCCTAAGACAAAACCACTGCCCATGGTCTGATATGCCTAGGGGTATTAACGAATGGGCATACACCAACTAATTTCGAGGTCCCCAAAATTAGATCTAGATATGTTAATTCACCATTGATCAGATAACATTGTACTGTACATTCCTTATTCAACAGAAGTTTATAGTTCTAATAGATTAGCCTACTGTTAATGGATAATCATACCTATGAAACTGTTCTGTAATAAATTACTGGTACTATTTCACTTGTTTAATTATTTACGCAAAATAATTGTTTAATAATATATTAATATATCTGTAATCAAAAGGAATTATATTGAGAATTTTTTAGTTGATTCCAACATATATAATTACATATTTATATATCGAGCTGGAGCAAACTAGTACCGAAGAGGTCCATTTCCTCGACATCGGAATAAAGATAGTAGGACCCACCATCCAAACAGCCGTATACATATTTTCCTTAAATAATAGCCTATTTCCTACATATTAAATCCATAAAAATTATAGAGATAAGCCGGATATAGGTTTAAATTACAATATTATTGAATAATTCGTTATGATTGGCATTCTCTTATCAAACTTTACAAAGTTTCTTATCAAAATTAATTTCATGAAGGAATATAATTTGCAGTAATTAAAACTTATCTAGCATCTACGAAGAAATAAAAAAAAAAAGGAATTAAAGTTGAAACCATACTCAGAACTATATCTATAATAATTCATACTGCATACAGATTCATCCATTCCTTGTTTCAGATATAAATGAATCATAAATACCTAAATCATGAATCATACATTGTGTATAACTGAAGTAAGGAATTTATAGAATAAGAAAATTAAGAAAAATTGACTCAATGGAAAAGAAATTGAATCATTGTATCCTATTACAAGGTACGAAATTAATTATAATGATGAATATTAATAAGAAGTTCTGAAATAATTCACTAGAAGCCTTAATTACTAGAAGCCTTCGCTACTTTTAAAACATAAAATAACGTTTCAAACTGAAAAATATGAAAAATTGATTATATTTTTCAACGCGTATCATATAACACTAATATCATTTATGGCCCGAAGCACTTATTAACTTTAATGTAGAGGAAAGATTTTGTATCGTATACGAGAATGGGATTACCTTAGTCGCCTCAGTCGGACGACACGGCAAACTGGTCCACATTGGCTTAATTTAGATGAGTAAACATTTCGGATGTCGGCATCCGGGCATCAAAGAAGTTTCGAAAGCGCTAATAACTAGTTGTCAAAAATTTCCGACCCCGGCTGATTGATTGTCATAGAATTTTGCTCCCCGCAGCTATCGCCTCGTTACCGCGCTCTGTAAATATAGACTTATTTTGGTACTGCTTTTATTTAAATTTATGTATGCTCGTCGGTTTTTCTTAGTTTTATACCATTTTTCTGTCGCTATTTAAAATGAATAGCAGAGTTTGAAGAATCGATCTGCATAAAAAATTATATATATATATTTATATATGCATAATTCCCACACGTGCCGAATGCTGCCAGGGTAATAAACTCGATAGATACGATTTTAATTTATTGGTAAATCCGAATGATAGGAACCAGAATTAATATTTTTGCTTTCGGGCGATAGAGGTCGTTACATACCAGTTTTCTACCGTGCGAAAGTTTCGTCCATTGTCGTCCCTAATATATTTTATTGGGAAAACTGCAATATAAGCGAATAATAAAATAGAATAAAGGAATTTAAATAGATATTTTTTAAAAGAGACGAAAGCAAATCGGGAACGGAACTGACCACTCGAGGGACGGTCGTTATTGATTATTTGTCTTCGAGAAAGCGATAAGGAATCTGAGATCATTGACGGATGGTCAATATCCAGTATCTAGACAAGTAGAATTTGCACATCAAAGCGTCACGCGAAGGGTAATCCGTCACGTGACATGCCTTACGTGTGGCCTTCGTGTCCGTCTCGGCTATTTACCTGGGAGGATGTTCGCCATCTGAGAATATGTCAACATTTTCTGTCCGTGGAAAGCACCGAAAGCCAACAGTCTACACTTGCCTGCACGCATGCACCAATATGGCTCCTCCCCGGTGTGACGTCATAGTCGAGGAGCGATAGAAGGCGCGTGCAGTAGCGTTAGTGTTAGGGAGGAAAGCTATGGCGGTGCGCTTGGCTCGGCATCCGGGCGCATAAGAGAAAAGAGAAGATGAACGAAGAGAACATCGTCGAGAACTGGCTCAAGTCTCTCCATTTGGGTCGCTACGCGCAGAGTTTCATCGACAACGGTTACGACGATCTAGAAATCTGCAAACAGATAGGAGAGCCAGATTTGGATGCCATCGGGGTGTCGGATGCCACTCATCGCCAGCAGATCCTGCGAGCCGTCAGGGTGTTGTTGGAACATGGAGGAACGGCCGTCTACTTCACTCTAGAGGAGAATGCCAGACACGGCCTAGACCCGACCGACAGTATTAAGGAAGCATTGGTCAAAGAGAAAGAGGCCATCAGGGCAGCGCATTCCCCCGCAAAGAAGTATGTAGACGAATACGAAGAAGGAAAAGCGGAATTCGTCAGATTCCCCAAAATGCAACTCAAGATGATCATTAGAGATAAACTGGTACGAGATGGAATCCGTCTCAGTACTCAACCTTACACCAATCCGGTGAGTAATGCCAAAATATATTCCTCCACGCAAAACACACTTTCTTTCCTACTCTCCCTTCTCTTTTATTATTGTTCACTAACACCAAGGCTCGCTAAGCGTTTCTTACTTGTCCATCCAGCAAAACCCACTTAGCTTCTCTTCCACCACCTAAACGCTTGACGATGAACAATAGTGTCGGGAAATGAGTAATCAAGAGTTGCGTGGCGTTCAAACAAAAGACGAATCAACGAGATTTGAAAATCGCGTAACTCCGGGTTCGCGTAAGTCGGGGTAGCGTAAGTCGAGGTATTACTGTTTATGATCCATATTAATATATGATCCATATTAGGTTATTTATGTTATATTATAAACTAGATCGGATTAGAAACTGAATTCGACTTAGTTTATAATTTAACATGAATAGTATCTTGAACAGTAAAAGGTCATTAATCTGATCGACCAGATATCGGACTTTTACTGTTCAGGATAAGAAATATTATGTCAGCATAATATACTGTACACTTTAACATCTATTTGACATCTTATTTACACTTACTTTTTTTTTTCTTTTTTATAAAAACATAGGCTAATAACGCCAAATTGATATGACTATACATTATCAGAACAAAATAAACCTTTATATACAGTAATACGAACACTTAATCTACAGGAAAAACGCCAGTGAGATAAAGTCCCTAAGACAAAACCACCGCCCATGGTCTGATATGCCTAGGGGTATTAACGAATGGGCATACACCAACTAATTTCGAGGTCCCCAAAATTAGATCTAGATATGTTAATTCACCATTGATCAGATAACATTGTACTGTACATTCCTTATTCAACAGAAGTTTATAGTTCTAATAGATTAGCCTACTGTTAATGGATAATCATACCTATGAAACTGTTCTGTAATAAATTACTGGTACTATTTCACTTGTTTAATTATTTACGCAAAATAATTGTTTAATAATATATTAATATATCTGTAATCAAAAGGAATTATATTGAGAATTTTTTAGTTGATTCCAACATATATAATTACATATTTATATATCGAGCTGGAGCAAACTAGTACCGAAGAGGTCCATTTCCTCGACATCGGGATAAAGATAGTAGGACCCACCATCCAAACAGCCGTATACCACAAGTCCTCATCCACCCCCCACGTACATACCAGCCGATTCCTGTGACCCGTTCCCATACAAGGCAGCCACATTTAGGGCTCTTGTGGAGAGGGCGTTCTCACACTCATCCACCAAGCAAGCCCTGACAAATGAATTAGCACGCATGAAAAAAATAGCAACCGAACATGGATTCCGAGCATGACGCACCGCTTAATTGAACAGTACCAACGCTGGAAACATGCCCTAACCACAGAGATCACCGCCGACCCACAACGAGATAACTCAGCACGGATCCCCATCACATACAACCCGCACCTCAAGACTGTACATAGAAAAATAGCCAAAGAGCATAGGATTTGACTGGCGTACAGAAAATGCCCCACAATTTTCCGCATCCTAAGGAACAATAAGGACCCTCCTGATCGCACCAGACTCCCCGGAATCTACTCTATCCTGCTCCGTGACAATAGACAAAACGCGGAACTACTATACATCGGCTCAACCAAACGCTCCTTAAACACCCGCCTACGTGAACACCAAGCAGATATCTGGCACAGGAGGCTGACCACAGCCCTAGCCACATACGCATCAAACCCCGAAATCGAAGTACACTTTGAGAGGGCTACCATTATTGTCAACATGCCTCACCAGCAGCAACTCAGATGGCTGGAAGCCGCGGCTATCCACAACGCCAACCGGCTAACCATCTGCATTAACCGGAAAGAGGAACTGACCTTGTCTCTGGCCTGGCAATCACTATTGGACGCCAATCCGCCGCTTCCCCCACCGCACGGCCGCACATGCCAGAAGCGACCCACCCCCTCAGAACTGACACCCGATCCTAGAGAAGAATAAATATACACTCCGTCCGGGGAATTCTTTCAGTTGACCTGAAGAAGAGCGAACAGAACGCTCGAAAACGTTTGTCAAGCGATATTTAACGTATATGCATAGAGCACCGGTCACAGGTTCCGATAGTGTGACGTCAATGTTTTACAATGTCCATGAAGACTTTTACTACTACAAAGAAATTTGTATGTAATAGATTTGGCAATAGGAAAACTAATAAAAATAGTTGGGACTTATGATTTCTAAGTCTCCCAGAATTATTGGGAGACTAGAATATGACAAAAAATTTTAAATTCTCATACTCCTAAATTAAACCTTATTCTTCCTGTATTTAACTTTTGGGTTGTATACTAAAGCATAATTAAGAATTTGCAACAATGTTTTGAGAGTTGCTGAGAAGTAAAAAAAATCATTAAATCTCCCATAATTTTCACTTCTAAAATGAAAAATTTCCAGAATTAACTCTTTAGGAGTTTGGATTGAATTGATAGATGAAACAATGCAACACATGGTTGACCTGTCTTTATGGGAAATTGTCTCCTATTTAAGTATTAAACCTATGAACCCACAACCAACTACTAATGTTTAGTGGTCTTAGCCACTCAGCCACAGATGGACAGCAAAATTATTGGAACTACAATCTGATTTTTTGTAGTTCCAATAATCTTACTGAAGATAATCATTTTGTTCTTTTACTCTTTGTGGACACTAAGCAGACTTGTTATTCTGTTGGTAAATGTCATGCATCAAGCTGAGAGTTTTATTGTATTAATGCTATTGTTCTGTACCAGAAAAACATTTTTATCATTAATATTACCAAATAAATTTGTTTTTTAAGTAACAGAAAATCTGGTGCTTTTCTGATGTTTTTAATATTTTAAAACTTCAGCCCTTTACTCATTAACTATTGGCAACACTGTACATATCTAACATATTCATGGAAATGGAGGTACAATTACATCTCTAAATGAGATGGTTGGGATCTTACCAGAGCTATAGACCATTCCCATAGAAGCAAAAAAAATTCAAAGAAACTATATCTTTACACGAGATACAGCCCCTGAAATCAGCCTATTTCTAGGATTACATGATTGGGAGTCACATTCTGCCCTCTGCTAAGATTATCACATTTAACTATTTAGCCCAGGCGACTATGCCAGCTTTGAGTACATCAATTGGCCGTTTGCAGAGTACTTGATGTTATTTAGGAGGTGTTGGGACTTGTCTCCACATACAGTCCCTGGCCAAATTATTAGACGCACTACAGATTTTTCATAATTACGTTTTATACCCAGTCTGGTGTAGGTCTATCTTATAAATCATAATTTTCATAAACGGAACTTATTTTTTAATGTCATAGTATACCAATTTTTGTTATATTTCATTACAATAATAATTTAGTGGTATGTATCAGAGCTTAAACACTAAAGTGTAGTGTACAAGTACAAATGTGTTTCAGTCGCGTTCTCAATTGCTACTGGTGTGGACGTGTTTCTGTTCACCTCTTGTATTTATTTTGTGGTATACAATTATGCAAGTGTTTGTTTTCTTCGATAGTAGTAATTTTACCAACCAGATATGATCAATTGTTATCCTTTGACATGTGCAAAAAGGGGGACCTTTCACCACGTAAAAAAGCTGAAGTCAAAGCCGTCATTAATACAAAAATGTATTCCAACTGTGAAATTTCACGA